TAGTCTTACCAGTCTTCATGTCGGCCTTTGGAAGACCTCACTGTTATTTGGGACTGCGCGCTCCGCGTGGTATGGAATGATGCAAAGCTTCCAGAAGACTGAGTAGGCTCACCAGTGTCAGTCCTCAGTCCACTTCTTGCCAATGATCGACTGAGTCCAAGTGACATAATATCCATAGTGCCATGAATAAAACCAATAAATAACTTAATTGTTTTCTGACATATATTGTTTTATTTGAAGGGTTCGTTTAATGTTAGTGTTGGTATGCAATGCTCTGTATCAGCTGTATGCAAAATAACGAATAGCATAACATTTTACTATAAAACAACTCGCGATAAAAATGTATTGTATAAACATTTTAGCGATGCATGTGATTCGTCACTGGTAAATAAAAACATAACTATAAAGAGACAGCTTGTAACATGAGAATGTAAGCACTTTCACTTTGAGACAACCGTTTCCTATATTTTGATATAAGTTGAATGACAAAAATGTAAAAATCTATTGCTTAGAAAACATTTTCACCATCTTAGAGCAATAATACAACTTTTGTGTGGATTTAAATAATAATCGAGTATTTTAGCGATCAAATATAGCAACTTCCGGTGTCAGCCTCGTTTCCATGTTGGTACATTTATATGCAATTTTATAGTGTCGCACAAAAACCCGATTTTTAGGACCTTCCCCTACTCGAATCTTCTGGGACTTTTTTTTGGTAGTTAATGGGATACTAACGGACATGTTAATGAAGAAAAAGCTTCTGTTGCAATTAGTGACAGGTCATTTCGTAGAATGACTGGACTATGTACTTTTATAGAGCGTTATCGCAACAATTAATGGCACACCCCCACCCCTAGAAGAGAATAATGCCGAATTGCTTAACGCTCTGGAAAAACAACAGGAAGAGCTTAGAAAGAAACAACAGCACGAAATGAACGAACTGTTGTCTAAAGATAAATGAAAAAATTGTCTGGGTCAGGGGCTAGGGGAAAACCGGCGGCAGATAATAACAATACAAAGAGTCAGGTCGATTAAACTCCGCCGCGAGTTTAAAATCGGGTCAAACCGATAAGCTATCGTTCGTGTCCCTTAAACATCCTAAAGAGTGAGTACAAGGAAACCGAAATCGTCGACGCAGTTATACGTGCAATCTCGCCGCATAGCAGCTTCAGGAACTACGTAGAAACTTTGAATGAACTCTCACTCGCAAAATTAAGGAAAATTCTCCGCGTTCACTATCACGAAAAGTCGGCGTCGAAGTTGTATCACCAACTCGCTTCGACATTCCAAGAGGCAAAAGAAAGCCCGCAGCAATTCTTAATGAGCGTCTTAGACCTACGAAACAAGGTCACATTCGCCAGCCTGGAGGTCGACTGCTATGGGCCTCAGTTGATTCAGAAAATTTTCTTGAAGTCGTTTGAAACGGGAATGAGAGACGATATTTTAGCTACAACCCTGTGTCCAACTCTGCGCACCCCTCAGCTAACAGACGAACAATTAGTGAAACAAGTGGATGAGCTGGCTTCCCATCATTTAGAGCAAAGAAACAAGCTCACCACAGAGCGACAAAAGAGCGCAAAAAAGAAGGCCTGCGCCACCACCGACAATCACAAGAATTATGTTTCAGTCCCACGACCACTTTATCCCGAGGTGAAAGCTTACATCGAAGATCTCCTCAACAGGCAATTCATTCGACCATCTAAATCCTCTTATAGTTCACCAGTGGTCTGCTTGTGCTACTCAAGTAGGAGGTAATCCTCTACTTAAAACGAAATCGTTTGAGACAATTGAGGCCATTATGTCGGAATATGACCTTTGTGACATTTGGAGAATCCGTAATCCGTATACTAAACGTTTTACATGGAGAGGGAAATCTCAAGGAAAAAGGAGTTCTAGTGAGATACTTTATAGAAGACTAGACTTCTTTCTTATTTCCGATTGCCTACAACCTTTTGTAGAGAAATGTGATATCTCACCAGCACCATATACAGACCATTCAGCGATAACACTTACGTTATAATCCTTTACGACAGAAAGTGCAGGTCCGTCGTTCTGCTCAGGACTTGTGTGATATTAACGGAAATATTAATTGGGGTAATGCTCTATCAATGGGACTGGAAATCAGGGATAAATTTAAATGGTATCAGTTGTCTCACTCGATACCCCTAGACTGGAAGAAAAAGCTAAATGAAAGTACAAGAATAGGACAACTACATTTAGAATTATGAAATGATAACAATAAGATCGATAAGATTAAAACAAAGGATATTTATTGTCATTCAATAAATAAAATATTTGTAAAACCATCCGCTCAGGAAACGCTAGCTAAAAAAATTGGAGATAACCATCGTATTGATTTGGGAAAGGTATATGAACGAATTTATAGTACAACAATAGATACKTAYTTGAGGTATTTCCAATAYAAAATAGTTAACAATATTCTKTATCTTAATTGTGACCTCTATCGATTCCAGATAGTTGATTCGCCATCCTGCCCTTTCTGTTTGTACCACCTCGAAACGGTGGAACATTTATTTGTAGAATGTACTATTTCGAAAAATTTATATTTTGAGGTTCAACAATGGCTGAAAAATTGTAATGTCATTATTCCTGATTCAAATTAGAAAAAAAATATCATTTCAATTAAGAAGCGTTTTATCTTCTTGTCTAAAGAATATAAAAAATGTTCATTGTTATTTAAGCGCTACTTCAACCTAAAAGTTATTTTCTCAGGAGCAAATTTTACTTTTTTGAAAACCTATGTGGCAAAACCTGCTGGTTGCCATGGCAACATAGATGACAATATAAGCATAAAATGTACATCKAAATCTCTTTTTTAGGAAAAGTCTCAACGTTTTAGAGCGGTACCTGTCTTGGTTTAAAAGTTATTAGCATTTTACTCGAGGGGGCGGCTCTTAAGGCCCCACTCCCCCAGTCTGAATACGATCTATGWGATCCATTCAACAGAGACGCCTGGCTGTTTGCCGGAATTTACACCTGTAGACACCCCTCACACAATTGTTTGGATCCAATCATCCGAGAAAGCCATAACAGTACTTCAATAATCGGAATAGCATACAACGAGAGATCACTTCTTGGAGCAAAAACACTTTCCTAATTCCTTATGGTAAAGTTGGTAAAGAGGTTATTGACCAGCTCACAAACCATATTAACGGCTGCAATGATGGAGCGGAAAGTCAAGAAGTAGCGCTCAATGGTCAGCTTTTACTGAAACTTGTATACAATTGGGCTAATGCGGTGAGTTAAGGTTGGAGTCTCAACCAATACCTGTTTTGCGTTTTTTGGGACAACAACTTTTTGTACTGGAACATTAGTGTATTGTAAACTAAGAGATGTTATGAAATTGTCAAATATGTGTTGTTCTCCCTTCCACTCTCTCCACATCCTGTCATCAAGGTAAGACTGTAGATCATCTCTTGAAATTCCCATTCTCATTTTCACGGGAAGTTTCAATTTTGCCCACATTGATTCAATGTTTTGTGTATGCACGCCCGTAACTGGATCTACAAAATTAAGGGAATGGTTTACGATTCTATCACATGAYAGGAAGTCAGGTGATCCCATGAGATAGCACAGCGCTTGCGCAAGTCATTGCACGGATTGCGTTCTAAGAAAGTTGTTCAAAAAATTCTTCAAAGTCTTCAAATTATTCTGGATTAGTCTAACGTAGTTAGTCTAGCAAGAAATCCAGCTGGGATCAACGTAGTTGATACCTAAACGTTGTTGGAAGGTCCTAACGTGGTTAGGAACCGAAATAATCCTTTACAATATGGGCGACGAGGCAAATGCCGGCACAAATAACGTGGTGGACAGAAACRCGCCACCTACTGGTGATTCTAATGTGAATGGCATGTTTGCCGCATTGCTTGAGCAGATGCAAGCMATGAATCAAAACTTCGCTTCTTTCTGTTCAGGAGAAGCTGAAGATGAAAGTGATCATGAGTCCATTGCCCAGGATCATGAAATGGGACAGGGCGATCAAGCAAACGCCGCCCTCGACACACTTATCAGTGGGGTCAAATTGCCAGAGTCCGATGTTCTGAAGGACATCGCAGCAGATCTTAATGTCAAACGAAAAGACCGACCCAGCTATTCACGAGGGACTGGCAGGTATATTTAATACCCTGGTTAAKTCCAAGATGAGCGACGAAAAGCTCAAGGAAAAGATGGACAAATATGTCCGACCAGAAAATGTTAAGGACCTTAGAGTCCCTAAGGTAAATCCACTAGTTTGGAACCAGCTATCGTCCAGCATGCGATCGCAGGACTCGAAATCGCAAAAGTCGCAAGGAATCCTGATGGGGTCCGTTATGGAAGCCATTAAAGCGGCCGAGTTGGTGATGAACAAGTACCCTGATGACYGGGCTTTGTTAAAGCTCATCACTGACAGTGTAGCGATGGGATTGCAATTTAATCATGAGGTCAACTTATCGAGGAGAATGGCCATGAAAAAGGAGTTGCACAGGGACTACGCTTCCCTGTGTAACGTTTCCCCCGCTGAGGACGGTGACTCGGAGTTTCTATTTGGCGATTTATCCAAAATAACTAAAGATATYGCTGAAGCGAATAAGTTGACAAAGAGGGTTCGCCCCACCTCTACAACAACACGTGGCGGTCATCATGGCGGTCACCACAGCTATGGCAACAAAGGCAATCGCCGATTTTACCCTTATAGTAGATGTAAAAGCGGTTCTTTTTTAGACCGCGGTCATCCATCCAAGTACAAGAAGAAAAAGGAGGGGGTGAGCAACCAACGCCAGTAAAGGTATGCACTGATGTCAATATGTGCTATGATATAGACAATGACATTTTACCATGTTTACTTAAACCAACGGAGTTTAAGGCGGGGAGATTAACTGACTATCTTGATCAATGGTCTGAATTAACAAATGACCCAACAATAATTAACATAGTGAAAGGGGTTAAAATAGAAATGGTTGACGACAGTCATATGATTGCACGACCTAAAGCCAGACCAAGTGTCTTCAACGACAACGAACACCTTATTGTTCAACAGGAAATTGACAAACTAATTACAAAGGCTGTCATTATAGAAACGATTAAAGAACCAGATGATTTTATATCTACTATATTTTTACGACCCAAGAAGGACGGCATACATCGCATGATCCTCAATTTAAAACAGTTTAATGAATATGTTGTGTATCATCATTTCAAAATGGATACATTGGAGCATGCCATGTTATATGGCGTCGGTCGATCTTCAAGACGCATACTACACCGTACCTATTTATAGTTTTCACCAGAAATACCTGAAATTTTGGTTTGAAGGGAAATATTACCAATATACTTGTTTCCCAAATGGCCTAGCTAGTGCACCGCGTTTATTTACTAARCTGCTTAAACCGGTCTATTCAACACTCCACAGCATGGGGCATGTTAGCTCAGCATACATAGATGATTCGTATCTGCAAGGTGACACTTTCAGAAAATGTTACAACAATGTTATTGATACAGTGCGGCTATTTTCATCACTAGGTTTTTGTGTACATCCGGAAAAATCGGTATTCATACCAACGCAAAAACTGKTTTTTCTAGGTTTCATTCTAAATTCAAACACAATGACAGTTACGMCCACTGATGAAAAGAAGGAGAAAATTGTCACTGTTTAATCTGCGGTCTTAGCTAACTCTCATCCTACAATTAGACAGGTCGCTGAGTTAATAGGAACACTGATTTCCAATTTCCCGGGGGCCGAATTTGGTCCATTACACTATCGGCGTCTATAACATGAAAAAAATTTTGCTCTTGTTTTGTCTAAAAGAAACTATACCACTCCTATGGTATTATCAATACGTGCGATATCTGAGATACGATGGTGGTTCGATAATGCACATCACTTAAAACGTGACATTTTACGTAACAACCCTGACATTGTCATTAAATCGGACGCCTCTAATCTTGGTTGGGGTGCCRTATACGGAGAGCAAAAGGCGGGAGGGCGATGGATGCCCTCTGAGGCAARACTGCATATAAACGTGCTGGAATTAAAAGCGGCCTTTTTTGCGCTGAAATGTTTTTGTTCAAACATTAAAAATCAACATATACGTATATTTATCGATAACACTACAGCTGTATCCTACAGGAGGGAGGGTCCAAATCTGTTGTGCTTAACTCCCTTGCCATTAAAGTGTGGGAATGGTGTATCGCAAGGAACCTTTGGGTTTCAGTAGTGCATATCGCTGGAAAAATAAACATCGAAGCAGATGAAAAGTCGCGGAAGTTTAAKGACAAACATGAGTGGAAAATTAACGAACAATGTTTTAACGACATTTTAGAACTATTTCCTAAAATTAACATTGACATGTTTGCTACCCGGCTAAATAATATGCTTGACGCATATTGCTCATAGAAGCCAGATCCTGGTAGTAGACATGTAGATGTGTTTTCAATTAATTGGAGTAACTACGAATTTTATGCTTTTCCTCCATTCAGCCTCATCCCSAAGTGCCTATCCAAGATAACTCAAGACAAAGCTCGCGGAATACTAATTACACCGTTATGGCCAACCCAGACATGGTTTCCTACACTATTACAGCACCTATATCAACAACCGTGGATCTACGCGCCAAGAATGGATCTACTGCGACACCCGTCACACAACAAACCACATCCACTGTGTCGAAAACTATGTCTGATGGTATGCCCCTTGTCAGGGAACACTACGGAAACTTGGGCATTCCAACAAACATTACCGAAGTTCTCATGGCCTCTTGGAGGAAATCGACTCAAAAACAGTATGACACGTATCTCCGGCGGTGGATGGCATTTTGTAGTCAAAGAGAGATTAATCACCATTCACCAACGGTAAACGAAACCCTTGAATTCSTCATGAAACTGTATCAAGAAGGTCTCAGTTACTCAACACTTAACACTGCSCGCTCCGCTTTGTCTACTGTAGTTGATATAGAAGATTTTGGTAAGAATCCGATTGCCACTAGATTTATGAAAGGAATTTTTGAGTTGTGTAAACCCACGCCCAGGTACTCAGCAATATGGGATGTGTCAGTCGTTTTATGCTACCTGTCAGGTCTCTATCCGTATGAATCATTAACACTTAGGGATTTGACACTTAAATTACTGATGTTATTGTTGCTAGTATCAAGCCAAAGAGGTCAAACAATTCATTTACTTGACCTTAATAGTCTAGTTCTTTCGGAGGAAGAATATGTTTTTCATGTGCTTGACCACACAAAGACCAGTAAACCAGGACAGCCTTACTATAAACYTAAGATTATTCCTTATAACATTAATCCAAATATTTGTCCATTAGCATGTCTTATTGAATACATAAAAAGAACAAAGCYTCTCAGAGGAAGCAATACCAAGTTATTCATTAGCTATGTAAAACCGTTTAAGCCCGTCTCTAGAGACACGATTTCCAGATGGACAAACACTGTCCTTGATCAAAGTGGGGTCGATACTAACGTTTATAAGGCACATAGTACTAGGGCAGCGTCGACCTCAAAGGCTACAAGAGGAAATGTGCCAATCGATCAAKTAATGGCCAATGCTGGATGGAAGTCTGCACAAACGTTTTTTAAATTTTATAATAAGCCTCTTGAATCTAGTGCGAGTGTTACGGATGTTGTTCTTAAGATTTGAAGCTATATCTACATATTTAGAAGAGCTATAGTATTCATGTACATTGTTCAAGTTTGAGTAGTTCTTTTATTTTTGGGAAATAAATCACYACTTCGTGTATAACATCGTGTTTCTTTGGTTAACAAGACACAAATACATGTTATAGTGCTTGTTGTATCAGTGGCTTTAAAGTCTCATGGGATCACCTGACTTCCTGTCATGTGATAGAATTGGAGAATTAAACGAGACTTACCTGTAATCACATGACATTGGAAGGCAGGAGATCACATGCCCTCCTCTCCCGCCCTTTGTTATAATGCTGGGGTATATGTTTGGACTTACAGGTAAGTCTCGTTTAATTCTCCAATTCTATGTCGTGATACATTATTAGGGAGCAGTAGTAGTAATAGGCCGATTCTGGCTCACTTTTTTTATCCTTTTCTAGCTCACGTCCACACGGCTAGCCACTCGATTTTTGGTTAAAAAACGCGATTTTAGGTCAAAATTACCACTACTATGGGAGTTAATAATAGAGCGTCTATTTTAATAACTGTTCGCTTATTGTGAAT